TCTCTTCCCCTTCATTCGTCCTCGTCCTCCTTTCCCTTCGCCTTTCCCGTGCTGTGTCGTGCTCTCTCCTTCTTCCAAATCCTTGAGTTTCGCCGCCCTCCCATGTGACCTCTCTTCGTTCCCCCCCCCCCCCCCCCCCCCCCCCCCCCCCCCCCAGTCGACCCCTCCTTCCCCCTTCTCCTTCCCCTGTCCTCCTTCCCGCCCCCCCTCTCACTCTCTCCGCCCTCACGCCCGGTCCATCTCTCAGCCGGTCTCTCATCGCCCTCTACTTTCTCTTTCTTCCCTCCCTTGATCGAACTTCCTTCCCCCTCCCTCTTTCCCCTCCCTCTTTTCCTTCCTCCCTTCTCGCGCCGTGTCTCGCTTTGTTCTCCCTTCCTCTTCCCAGGTCGTGTCAGATCTCTCACCTCCATTCCTCCCCACTCGTCCTCGCCCTCCTTGCCCTCCCCTCCCCTGATTGCTCTCTCTTTCCTCTTCCCTAGGCCTCCTTTGCCCCCCTCTTTTCCCGGGCCGTCCCACGCCGTATTCCGCTCTTTCCGTCTTCCGAATTCCTTGTCGTGTCGTGTCATGCTCTCTCCATCCTCCAAATCCTTGAGTCGTCTCTAAAAGACAAGTCATAGAGAGACTGAAGTAGCCTACATAAAAGGATTGACCATGTGGCGGCAGCTACAATCAGGAAAAAGAAGAGAAGGGTCAGACGGGGCCACGTGGCAGCTACAATCAAGAAGAGGAAGAGAAGGGTCAAACGGGGAGAAGTGGGTTAGGAGGGAAGGATTTTGTGGGCAATTTTTTTTTTTTTTTTTTTTTTTTTAATGGAACAGTAAGTGTTGCTACTGCAGAAGGATTCAGGTCTCCTCCTCCTCGCCGCGTGGGTTGGCTTGGCGGGTTGTTTATCGAGGATCACACAAATTGAAGTAGGAGGAGAGGGGGGAGAAAGGAGGACACCCTCAATAAATATACAGTCACGAAAAACAGCCAGGATAAAGCAGGAGTCTTATAACCTATATATTGGAGAGGAGAAGGGGAGAAAGGAGAGAGAGGGAAGCGAAAAGGTTATACGCAGGGGAGCTCGATCAGAACGATCTAACATGGAGATCAGCAAGGAGAAGAACATATATCAGAGGGTTCACAAAAAGATGGACTCCACTGCATACTCATGTACAAAGGGGCGGTTAGGCACTACGCCCAAAGTTGGGTCATGGGACAGATACCTTACACACTTTACACAAGGAAGGGGACAAGCGGGGGGATGCACAAACTGATACCTTACACACTTCACACAAGGAAGGGAACAAGTGGGGGGATGCACGGGAACGGGAAGGGGTTGGAGGAGGGAGCCAGGTGTTGTCTGACTCGTCTGGCATGGGAGCAAACTTGTCTAGCTCGTCTGGCCAGCCAACCAGCCTGGGAGTAGATTCGAGGTTTGGGCAGAGAGGGTGGGGAGACCATTCGTTGGGGAAACTATCTCGATCCAACAAAGGAAAGGAGAAGAAGAAGGGGAAGGGGAAAAATGGAGAATCCCGTTGGGAAATCTGACAACCGGTCAGGGCCTTTTTTTTTACCCGCTTCCTTTCCGCCTCAGAAAGTAGGATACTGCACCAAGGCGGCAGGACCACCGTAGTCAAAGCACTCCCCGGGGAAAAAGTGAGAGTGAGAGATGAACTGTACACACGCCATGCAAGCAACTAGGCTTTCCATGACAATGCAGCGTTCAAGTCAACAAATGACAAGGTTGGCTGGATCAGAGAGCGATTAGTTGCCTTCAAGGTATCCTTGGACGGCGCACACGACTTCTTCATAATACAGCCAGCCTCATCATCTGTTATTACAATCATCTGTATGTTTGAAACTGACAAAAAAATAATGTATGGATGGAAATCACTTCGTTGTGAAGGATCGAAAGTGCGAATTTACCCCTGGTCCCCCCCGAAGCAGCAGAGACCAGAGGAATGACGAGGGAACATTTTTAGGTAGAATTTAGACACATCCCAATCGAAATCCAGGCGGCTTTCGTGCAGGACTTTGCGGAGAGGTTCGACGTGGTGGACTTCATTGACCCTGTGTTAATCTCTGTACGTCGTACGGAGCGTCTGTCGTACGGCTGTACAAACGGCTGTATGGATGATCGTACGACCGTCCGAACGAGGCTCGTACGAGGTTTCAGTCGGGTTCCCCCGTCGGGCACACCGCGGTTTTGGAGGTGGCAGGGCGTGGCGGGAGGGGACGAGAGGCTATCTGCGGAAAACAAAAATAAAATTGACTTCAAAAAAAAACGGAAAAAAAAAAAAAAAAAAAAAAAAAAAAAAAAACCCAAAAAAAAAAAAAAAAGTCGAAACGAGCGGGAAACTCGTTTTTGGCTCGGTCGGGCCGTCGGGTGCGACGGCCGAAGATTGAAAACGCCCGAGGGCGGCTTCACTATTCGAGAAGCCCAAGGGCGGCTTCACGGCGCAGTGCGAGTACGCACAGATTGCGCGTTCAGAGAGAGAGAGAGAGAGAGAGAGAGAGAGAGAGAGAGAGAGAGAGAGAGAGAGAGAGAGAGAGA